ATGGAGGAGGGCACTTGTGGGGATGAGCACTGGGTGTTATGTGGAAACTAATTTGACAATAAACTATTTGTAAAAGAAAATAAAAATAAAAATAAAATCAAGAACAAAAAAAAAAAAAAAAGAAATCACCCATAATGGTGTTCTAATTTATTTCAAGTATTCAGATATTTTAGGTATTGATAACTGTATTCTGGTCCTTTCCAAATGATAAAAGGCCTTCCTTTTATTATTTATTTATTTATTTATCTATTTATTTATTATTATAAACACTGCATACCTATACTCTTAAAGCTTATAAACATCAGTCTTTAGAGTGGATGCCTTACAAATAATCTTTAGTTATTTAAAAAAAAAAAAAAGCCAAAACTCTTTTGGAGTCTTGATTCTAAGCCCTTTGCCATGTGTGGTAGAAAATAACCATACCCCTCCCATTGCTCCTGACTTTGGGCTTAGTTAGGCACATGACATACTTTGGGCAATAGGTTAGCAGATGTGATATAAATAGGTATTTGAAAAGTGTTTGCACAAGCAAACCTGCCCTTTTCTATCTTGGATCAGATGTAAAATATGGTAAAATGTTCTGGCTAGTCTGCTGGTATACAAAGGATGAGATACATGCAGAGCAGAGCTGAACCAGATGGGCCAAACCTACATTGGTGAAACCATAGCAGGGTGACTGAGCCCAGCTGAAATCAGCAGAGCTGCCCAGCCAAGCTCACTCAGATCATCTACCACCCAGCTACTCCCCCCCCACCCTATCAATTGATGTGTGACTCATAACAGATGATTGTTGTTTTAAGCCATTAAGTTTCAGAATTGTTTGCTTTGCAGGGAGAACTGATCTAGACATAAGGCAGTAAGAAATACACTTCCCTTACATCTAGTATTGCCAGCAAAGAATTCTCCTCTTTGTCCCTTGTACCTGCAGTTTGGACTACTCTTAGGTCTACTCTACCTGCCCCTTTCAGGGGAAATTTCTTTACAATTACCCTCCTCCTCTGCACCCAGATCTCATCGAATCTTGTTGTTTTGCTATTCTATAACTACAGTCATTGTAATTCAGATAAGCAGAACTGTAACAAGCAAGACCATTACTAAGGAATGTCAGAGCAGGTTACCAGCTATCTTTTTTGTATGACAGAGTGAGACGTTGCCTGAGAAAAAATAATGCTGAGGAAAGAGAGCATTAAGAACTCAATACTGGTGCAATAACAATGCCCATAATCATAGTTGTTGGGAGAGTACAGAAAATAGAAGGTAAATGTAATTTTTTTCACAAGTAACATTTTCTTTAAATGTAATTTTTTCCAAAGAATGACATAATAAACATCTTTATTCTTACTTTATTTTCTTAAAACTTGTTTTCTAGTAAAACAAACAAATATTTCCTAAAGTCCCTTTTGATAGCTACCTGCAATATCATTCCTTTCTCTTCTCAGATATAATCACTATTATGAGTTTGATGTGAATTAATCCTCTCAGGACTTGCTATTTTTGTGAGCATAATATTTTGTACAACTTTGTATCAGCCAAAAAGTTATCTTCTTTTGTGGTCCTCAAGTACTCATACATAGGTCCAAGAAAGAGAGGAGATAAAAGCAAAAATTTAAAGAGCTAGTTTTAGGGAAAAAATATATTTACGACATTGGGATAATGTGTGATACAAAGAGGGGAAAGGGACTCTCTCCACTTTAACAAAGCGGCATTAGTGTAACGCCATACAGGGCCAAGGTAAAATGATAAGACATCAAAGAGAGACAGTAATACTGCCAAAAGCGTACCATCAGCAGCATTCAGCTGCAGTGGAATGTGGCAATGAAAGCTGTTGATAGAGAACACAAAAGTTTGCTTGAGTGGATGTCAACTATTTCATCAGTACTGTGGTCAGAGGCAGCATCAACCATTTTAGAATAGGAGCTCTGGGTATGATCATTAGCACTCTCAGTAAGAGTCATGGTACTTGAAGAAAGGTAGTGAAAGCCACCAAGTCAGTGAAGGCTGAAATTCTCTAGAAATTTTCAAGAGATCCAACTGAGCCGAAGTTGGATGCTTAACCAACTGAGCCATCAGATGCCCCATGGGACAAGTTGGTATATTTTAAATATGGACTGTGGATTGGAAAATAGCATTTTGTTTGTATTAAAATATTTTCTTGATAATTGTACTATGGTTATTTAAGAGAATGTCCTTGTTCTTAGGAAGTATAACTGAAATGTTTAGGGGTAAAGGAACATGATGGCTGCAGTTTACTCTCAAATAGTTGAGACAATAATAAAGCAAATGGGGCAAACCATAACAATTAGTAAAGCTGGTTAAAGGGTATACAGAAATCTTCTGAAATAGTCTTGCAACCTTTTTAAAGTTTAAAATTATAAGTTGTTTTAAAAAAAAGAGAGAGAGAGATCCAGAGGTTAGGGAAGAGTAGGAGCTAACCTGAGAAATTCTGTTTATTACCGTTAATATTACATAATTCACAATGTCTACTGAAGTATTAACAATAAATATAACTGCCGGGGGAAAGAGTTCTTGCTTTGGTATGAGACCCTAGCAGGCTGTACCCTAGAAATAGGGATATAAATTATACTCAGTCAGCTCAAAGGCCAGAAAACCTGAAGTCTGGGTCTCAGATGGCTAAAACCCTCAAATTCTAGTAGGAGTAAGAGAAAATCCTTCCTGATAGAAAATAACATCACCTTAGGCTTCAAATTATTGCTACAAATAAATTTTCAAATATAATGGTTAGCAATCAGTGATAATGAAGCAAAACTCCTATTTCTGGCCATGACAGAATAACTGGTTTGGGAATATCCCTCCTTCCACTGTAAGTAAATGTAAAACTGGACAAAACAGATAAAGCAACTGCTTTCAGGGAGTAGATATGAGGTAGTCTAAGAATATAATCTCTGAGATAAGGGAAACCATAAGGTGAATGCCATGATTCTCAGCCCTCTTCCTGGGTAAAATTTCCCAACAAAAGCACAGAGCACTGACGTGCAAGCAGAGTATGGTGGTCCTACTGAACCGAGATTCAAGAGATCAGATTTTGGAGCAGCTAAAATCACTGAAATAGCAGGGCTGGGCATGGTTTTGAGAGAAGGGAGACAGACAGAGAAAGACCCTTAGAATTTCCTGAGGAACCTTTGTAAGTCTGTGGCTAAGAGCTTGGTAAAACACAAATTGCTAGGCTCCACCTATACAGTTTCTGATTCAGCTGTGTATATCTATCAAGTTCCCAGGTGATACTGATACTCCTGATCCAAGACCACACTTCGAAAATCACTCTTATTGAGCAAAAGACAATATGAATGAAAAATAAAATACATCCGTATCTATCAAACCTTTCTCACTCATTCTGAGTCACCAAAGCATTAAAATATCTGAGGATATAAGAACATATAATTACCATTATGTAAAGACTAACAACTTCTGCATCTAAAACTAACATTACACTGTATGTTAACGAATTGGAATTTAAGTGAAAACTACCAAAAAAAGGTCAACAACTTCTGTGGTAAATTAAACTTAAGGCTTTGATGGCCTACCTGTAGATCTTTCACATTCGGAAAAGGAATCCCGATTGTTACCACAGCACGGGCATTGTCATCTGAGAAATCCAGACCCTCACTCACTTTACCACGACAAACTGCTATCAAGAGGGCTCCATCTTAAGCAATAAAAAAATAAATATTTGAAAAGTACACCTAAAATTCCTCAAAACTGCTTATTCTTGTCATTTGAAAAGATCTAAGTAAACATAGCAATTAAAAAAATCAAAATAAAAACTATGATGAGATAAAGTTTTAAAAGGGCATTTCTACGTAATATGGTACCAAACAAATTTACAAACTGTGTATCTCCCAGATAATTTGCACAGAAAAACCACATCAGAGTAGAATTAACTTGCGGATGTACTGAGAAATTTTATGCACCAACTGTTTTATCTTTAAAAGAGTAAAACTGCAATCATTACTTTTACCACCAGACTGTAAAGTCCTCGGAATGATTTAAACAACTCTAGTTTGTACTATATATTATATTGAATCAATATTATATTGGAAAGCATTTAAAACATACACAGAACACTCCTTGTATAATCTCATCATACTGACAATATTGACAATTACGTTACAGTATCTTTAAGATAGTGGGTTCATAAATTATTACTACTAGCCCTTACTGTCAAACTTTCTATGGATATTCTCTAAACCTGAAATTGAGACTTCAGCTGTGCTTTGAAAACTCAAATTTGCCTTATGTGATAGAATGTAAGCATAAAGTATATTATTTGTATCAAAATGTAGGGCTCATTTTGCTACTAAGGTAGATATTTATGCATACTCCATCCATCCTCTTTCACAAAACATTTTAGGTAGTGTGGGGAAGACTATACTAAATGTCTTCCTAACCCGAATATATGCTGTTTCTTAAAGTTCAACTGGCATCTCCAATTAAAATATTCATAGGAGAACATCTCCAAATAAAAGAATTTCTTCAATTTATTTTCTTTTCACCCAGATTATAACTTTTCTCTTAAGTGCAATTCATTTAAAAGGTAACATAAATAAAATTCTGACAGCATCAACTTCTTACTTTATGATAAAAAATATTTTTTCATTGACCATCAAATAATTTCCAAATACCTTTCTCTCCTTTGTACTTGATTGCATCATAGTATATCTGTAGTAATTCATCAAAATCAATTTTTTCTACTGCTGGTGGTTCTACAATGACTGTCTTCACCAACTCTAGACTATGCCATAAACCAGTGGAGAGCCAACGTTCTTTGAACTTTTCTAATAACTGGAAAGGAAAAAGAAAAAAAATAAACTTTTTGTGTGTCCATCTAAACAAACTTACCTTGGTCTATTGAAAGAAAATGTGACTACAATGTGACTGTGGGAAGTGAATTACTAACCTGTGTTTTACTTTTCTCATCTATAAAATGAGAAAAACAATAATATGCCATAAAGTTGTTATTGGGTTAAATTCATGAACTGATTTAGAAAGGTTTGAATGATGCCTTGAACACTGTACGAACTCCGTAATAGTTAACTGCTACTGCTGCTGTTACCATTTCTATTACTACTAACATTATTTCTGCTGCTGCTGCTACTTCTATGATTGCTATCTTGGGGTTTCAAAAATAGGAAAATGACTTCTGGCAAAGTTGATAAATTTTAAGTTATCTCTTTAAAATTATTTTTGAATGTTCATTTTTGAGAGAGAGCAAGAGAGCGAGCACAAGTTGGGGAAGGGCAGAGAAAGGGAGACAGAATCTAAAGCAGGCTCCAGGCTCTGAGCTGTCAGTACAAAGCCTGATGTGGGACTTGAGCTCACGAACTGTGAGATGATCACCTGAGCAGAAGTCAGATGCTTAACTGACTGAGCCACCAAGGCGCCCCTTAACTTACCTCTTTAAGCCTAAAGTGAAATTCCTTAATTTCCTCAACTAAAGATTCTTAAAGATCATTTTACCTAGTCCATAGGCAGCTAAGCTGTTTAAAACTGTATTCATCATTAATAAACTGAATTAAGTAAAAATATAAATAGAGACTCAGGTAGCTAACAAGTAGAAAATATGCAAGCACAAAAGAACATTTATTAAAAAAAATAATTATGTGCAAGACTACAAAAGAACTTTCAACAAATTTCAGAGAGCCTTTATCAGATTAACCACATATTCTGGGGCGCCTGGGTGGCTCAGTTTGTTTAGTATCTGACTCTTAATTTCAGCTCAGGTTGTGATCTCAGAGTTTGTGAGATGAAGCCCCAACTCGGGCTCTGCACTGATAGCGTGGGGCCTGCTTAGGATTCTCTCTCTCTCTGCCCTTCCCCATTCATGTGCTCATGCACAAGCATGCACACTGTCTCTCAAAATAAATAAATAAAGATTTTAAAAAACATTAACCCCATATTCTAACAACAATATAACTTTAGACTAATAGACAATACAAAATTAGTAGGGTAAAAAAAACCCAACAAACTCAACACTAAGGACTATATTCTTAACACATGGGTTATATGTCAATTATATCTCAATAAAACTAGAAAAAAACATGGTTAAAAAAGAAAAACACAATAAAATTAATGATATCTTTAGGTATGAATAAGAAAAGGACCCACAAGGGGCGCCTGAGTGGCTCAGTCGGTTAAGCTCAGGTCACAATCTCACAGTCTGTGGGTTCGAGCCCCACATCAGGCTCTGTGCTGCAGGCTCGGAGCCTGAAGCCTGTTTCAAATTCTGTCTCCCTCTCTCTCTGCCCCTCCCCGACTTGCTCTCTGCCTCTGTCTCTCAAAAATAATAAATAAACATTTAAAAAAAAAAAAAAAGGACCCACAATTCAAAAGATGGGTTTCAATAAAGATAATACTGAGAAATATACTTGTAGCTTAAGATGTACTTATTTTAACAACCTGAAACTCAATGAAGCACCCTTTTAAAGAAACTAGAAAATTGGGGCCCCTTGGGTGGTTCAGTCAGTTGAGCCTCTGACTCTGGCTCAACTCTTAATCTTGAAGTTTGTGAGTTCAATCCCTACTTGGGCTCTCTGCTGTCAGTGCAGAGCTCTCTTTGGATCCTCTGTCCCCCTCTCTTTATGCCCCTCACAGCTTGCATTCTCTCTCTCTCAAAAATAAACATTAAAAAAAGAAATAGAAAAATAGAAAAAGAAAAACAAACAATAAATACAAAGAAAGTAGAAGTTAACAATAACCATAAGAGCTGAAACAAAAAGCCAAAAGCCAATATTAGGTTTATTATCAATTAAATTGACCTGTTTTACCCACTTGTTCTATGCAAAAAGTTCTATGCGATGTGGACCAGTTATTATAGGCAATAGGACATTACCCCAAATTCTCTAGAGAACAGAAACTAATTTTTGTAAGATGACTTATTTCCTCAGAACGTCACCCTTACCTGTTTTCAGAAGTAAACTTAATAAGATCATAAGACAAAACTGTTATCACTGCTATAGTGTAAATGTTTCAGTCCCCACAAAATTCATATGTTGAACTCTTTATCTTCAAATATGATGGTATTGTGAAGTGGGCACTTTGTGGGGTGATTAAGTCATGAGGGTAGAGCTTTCATGAATGACATGAGTGTTCTTAAAAAAGGGATCCCACAGAACTCACTGCTCTTTCCATCATTTGAGACACATCCAGAAGGCCCTGGCTACCAACCAGGAAGAGGGCTGTCCTCTAACCTGATTTTGGACTTCTAGCCTCCAGAGATGTGAGAAATAAATTTTTGTTGTTTATAAACTACCAAGTCTGCAGTATTTTGTTGTAACAACTGGAACTAAGAAAATCACTAATTGGTAAAATACCTCATTGTGTATTATATAATGATCAGGGTACCCTGATTAATAAAAAAAAGTTCTCTACTAACACCATGTGATTTAGGTTAAAAAAAAAAAAAAAGCAGGGCTATCATTAATCTAAAAGTCTTTTATGAGTGCCTCAAGGATTGGCTATTAAAATCTGCTTTTTGTATATACACTGTTTCTGAATCAGTCTCTCATCAGTGTTAGGAACTATTAAACCTTGTGATAGTATTCAGAGCTACAGTGTCTATGGGAGAGTCAAACTAAGTCCTCAACTGAGAAGAGTATTATAAAGTTGATAATGTTCAGAATAATATATTAATTTCTTTACATTTTCTATTGAATAACCAGTTTAAAAGAGGACATAAATATCTCAAGAATGTAAAACTGGATAAAATGCGTTGTGAATTTGCGTAATTATTGATACTTAATGGAATTTAATCCAACAATATACTGTTTTCTGTCATCTGAAAACACAGCTAGCATTTCATCTCTGATTCCTTGATCTTGAGATAATAACTGCCAATACATTATGTTTTTAACATTCAAGATCTGAGGAATACCTCTTACTTTACTTGAGGCAGATCACCAAATTGGTAATTCCAAAATATATTCCATAAAATCTATTTAAGAAGGCAATTTGAAAAATAACAAAGAAATTAGTTCAATGTACATTTACCTCCAAAGAAATTCCCATTATATAGAAAAGAGCTTAGAACATCAAAGAGTCACATACAATTTAGAAAACATCTAACAAAAGTTTAAAAAATTTCAAAGCAGATACAATATAAGCAAAATTTCAAAATTTGTTATAATGAATGAAGAAAAAACCCTACTGATTTTTTGGATTCTAAAAATTTCAAAAATTAATGGACAATGAAGATGGACACAGATTTGTAAATAAATCATGAATATTATAATTAAAAAGTATAATATGCACTATCAATCATTTCAGGAAACTTCTGTGGCAAATACAAAACAGTCTACGTTAATCAGTCTTTAAAAAAATTATTTGCAAAATATGTCTGTTAAAGTTTGTTGATATATCTGAAGGAATTTTTTTGTTCTAAAGCCCTTTAATTCTAATAAATTTTAAAAACTGAATTGTCAGTATATAATATTTACATATAAGATTATAATTTCAGAGAATAGGAGAAAACAAAAATGGAAAAGGTGGGACACATAAGAAAGGCTATTTTTTTCTAGGTTTGCATTAGAGTTGAAAAGCTTTACTGGAAATGCAAATTTTATAACTAGAATTAGAATTAGAAATTGCCTAGGGCTGCCAAAAGGAAAATGTTTGGGGAGAAATGGAGAGTGATTACTAATGGGCATGGAGTAACAAAAATGTTCAAATACAGTGGTGGATTACTTGCAGAACTTTGTGAATCAGATGAAAACCACTGAATTTACACTTTAAATGGAGTGAGCTGTCTGGAAATTATATCACAATAAAGATGTTATACTGAAAAATTGATAAATGGACACAGAACTTTCACACCACTATGGTGAAAAAGGACAAAAGCCTGTGTCAATTGATTAAGGCAAACAAAAGGGGAAAATAGGTAAAAGAAGGCACAAAATAAGGTGTAGAAAATAAGTCCAAATGTGCCCAGAATCCAAGCAAACATAAATGAATTTAACTTATTTATTAAAACTGAGATACTCAGATGGTTTGGAAAAAAGAGAGACAGAGAGGGAAAGAGGGAAGTGGGAAGAGAAAAAGAAAAAAATCATCCATACGTTGTTTATCAATAGAAGCATTTAAAATTAAACCACATAGAAATCTTTTTTTTTTTTTTAATGTTTATTTATTTTTGAGAGAGAGACACAGTGTGAATGGGGGAGGGACAGAGAGAGGAAGACAAAGAATCCAAAGCAGGCTCCAGGCTCTGAGTTATAAGCACAGAGCCTGATGCAGGGCTCAAACCCACGAGATGTGAGATCATGACCTGAGCCGAAGTTGGCTCCTCAACCGACTGAGCCACCCAGGCGCCCCTAAACCACATAGAAATCTTGAAAATGAAGATCAGGAAGAAGAAATGCAATGTAAATCTCAAAAGAAATCAGGTAAATTACCATCATAAAAACGGACTTCAATGCAAAATGTTTTCTAATAAATAGATACACATTCCACATACTTAAAAAGTGCATCCACTAAAAGATGTAACAGTCATGATTCTTTTTTTTTAAGTTTACATATTTATTTTGAGAGAGACAGAGAGAGCGTGAGCAGGGGAGGGGCAGAAAGAGAAGGAAACAGAGAGAATCCCAAGTAGGCTCTGCGCTACCAACACAGAGCCTGACTCAGGGCTCTAATCCACAAAACCATGAGATCATGATCTGAGCTGAAACTGTGTGTCAGATGCCTAACCAACTGAGCCACCCAGGTGCGGCAGTCATGAATCTTTATGCACTTAAAACATAGTTTCAAAATACAGAAAAGAAGAGCTAATAAGAAATACAAGGATAGAC